GGGAACTTGTCGGCAAATAAAACGGTTTCGCAGACCCAAACGGATGTCATATGTTTTCTTAGTTTATTTGATCGAGCCTCACCCTCAAGTCTTGTGTTTATCCCTCGGGGTAGATACAGGATTTGAGGTAGGGTGCTCTTTCATTTAAACTATGAAAAATATGAGGTCAGTTTGATTTCATATTTTTCTAAAATTATATACATATATATACGTAAATTAAAACGTCTTTCCGAAGCGGGCGATGGGATTTCAATTCCGGCTGCCGACAGCTTCTGACGGACGACCCCCAAACAAACCTCTTCTTTTTAGTGCCGACAGTAACTCCTGGTGATTTTGAGAGCTCTATTTAAAGAAACTTTTGGAGATTCAAAGGGGGGTTCTTTTAGAGAGAAAGGAGATTTCTTTTAGAGAGAAGAGAAATCTTCTTAGAGAGGAGAAAGTCTTCGAGGTTTGCATTAGATTTGGAGGAGAAGAGGAGAAGTGAGATATATCTTCTTCACTACAGTTTTAAATGAGATTGGAGTGAAATTATATGGAGAGTGAGTGATTCAAAGGAACTAGAATGATTTCTTGGGAAGGAGTTTAAGATAAGTTGTGTATTTTGTTTATTTTACTTATTCTTGTTTTGTAAACTTATATTTTCATATAAATCCTCCTACCTCAAGAACTTTCAATAAGGGGAGAGGATAAGGATTGATAATATCATTCGCCGACTCTTGATGAGATTGTTGCCCCCGATACTCTTAGGTTGTAGTTTAGCTCGATCAAAATAATTAACCTATGGACTATATTACTTTGCAAAGTATTTACAAAAATGAAATTTCTTTTGTCTGCTAAAGTAAATTCTACATGCACAAAAATTAAATTAAAATTAAAAACTTATAAAGGTCCACGGTTAATCACTTGGATTGAGATTAAGACTGCCCTCCGTAGATTGTCGGGTCGGAAGCTCTTACTCAAGGTTGGGAAGCACACAGTCCAGTTCTGAGCCCCCACCTTTACCAATGCTTTACACTTAGTTCTGATATTCCATATGTGACTATGAGTTTTCTTTTACTTGCTCGTGTTTCACTACGACTCATTTTCCAGCTTTTCACGTACCGGATGCACCTGTTTTCTTTCGTGTAATTTATTAAATTTCTTGCAAATATATTATGTTTTATGATGCTAACCATACAACGGTAGCGGTGGCCTACGTACGCTCATTTAAATATTTATAGTAATTTTATTACAGCGTTTTCTTTTACTGTCCTTATACTTTTGCTTTTGTAATCGCAAGACTTTTAAGATAGAAAACAATAGCCGGTTTACCTAGGATGGATCACTGTAAAACCCAAACACATACCTTCTAATTAATTGAATTAATAATGATTGAAAGAAAGAATAAGACAAAGATCTTACCTGGAGTTTTCACTTCGACGAGGAGCTTGGAGTTAACTGTGTGGGAAGCATGATATGGATGTACAGAAGAACAATTTCGAGAGAGCAAACAAGTCTACAACAACATCCTTCCTTAGAATTAAATAACAAGTCATAGGATTTCGAGGCAGCTCGTTTAGTACGACATAAATCCTCAAATTATCTTTAAACTTTTTCACAGTCATGTTGTGCAATTTAAAGCCTTAACTCGCTTTAGGCTCTGAGGTCGTCGTCAGATACGACGTAAATCCTCTTATCTTCCAGGTCATTTGTATGACCGTGTCATGCAAGTGTAAGCTTTAAATAATAAAACTTGCAGGATAAAACATATGATAATATTTCCTCGAAATTGAAGTCAAACTATATAATAGCTTGGGAAGTCTCTAAGGCTTGCCTCAGGATTCCTGGCATTCTCTATTTTTCTCTCTTTGGATTCCAAAAATAACTATTCCTATTTGATCTTTCCCATTTGATGTTCCTTTGTTTGACCTTGAAAACCCTTAACTTTGAAATTCTTGAAGACGATATCTTCTGATATAACTTGAGAGTTTTCTTAAGTGACTTCAGTCATTTAAAATGTAATTAATTATAGGGGTTTGTTTTATAGGAAACTTTGGCACAGTTTAATATAAAACCTGCCTAATCTTTTGTATTAGATAGAGAAAATTGTCGTTCAACATAAATATTTCATATACTAAAATGGATGTCATAAATCCTTTAATTTTTTTAATCGAGTCTTACTATCAAGTAATGTGTCTATTCTTCGGGATAGGTACGTCATTTGCGGTATTGTACTCGTTTATTTAAGTTGTTGCATGTATGAGATCGGTTCGGTCTCATAATTTAAAAAATTAAAATATTACTTTTCATATATATATATATATATTATATTAAATTAAAGATATTTTCCCATGTTGGTGACTGACAAGCATCTGGAGAATCCTGCAACAGAAGGAGCTAGCGTACTGAAGGGGTCTGCGAGGGTGTTAATCATGATGTCTGGAGGAGAAATTGAAGGAGTTGGGGAAGTTTGGAGGGAAAGTTTGAAGTGCTATGAGAGGATTGTATTAAGAGGAATAACCTAGGGTTTGTTTTTCTTTATGCATGTTTTATTGGCTTCTACTTTTTTTTTCTTATGTAGTGTTCCTAGCGACGTCTACGGATATGCTCTACTTTTTTTTTCTTGAAAAATAGATCATCATTATCTTGCTTGTTTTCCTTTAATTTTCGTAAGAGCAGTCCTTGTTTGAGTTTTATTCCATCTATCTATTGTCATTTCGTCGTTGTTTGCTTGTTGATTTTGGTTTCGGATCGTATCATATTACTGGTCAAAACTATTTGCAATCTTTTTTTAGAATATGTAATCTGGTAAGTTATTGAGAAGCAACTTTAATGATTGTATCCTTAGGAATTGAAATGTTTTAATCAGCTATTCTTCATTGAATAATCTTCCTCATATTTTTGTTTCATTGACCCACCGAAAATTTAGAATCTTTATTTTATTGTTAGAGTACAGGCTGAATAACATGATTTCTGTCTGCGGCACTACAGATTTTTGCTGCTAAGATTAAGCATTTTTTTCAGCGATTAATGCATGGACAGTCTGATTGGCATTTTTATGTTAGATATGGAAGCAAGCATTCTAAGGTTAAAAAACATGGTCACATTTGATACTATACATGGAGTTAGTTCAATTATTATGTCAACCGTTTTTATTTAGCTATCTTATTGAGTTAAAAAGCTGTCCCTTCAAATTTTTTGATGTCATTGTCTTTAGATTTGATGATTAATGCTACCTTAAGATTTCTTTGGGATTATTTTTTATTTTTTATTTTGATTTCTTTTCTTAACAATATATTGTTTAATATGTTTGTTACATTTTTATTTAGGTATTTTTGCGTGGTTTAAAAGCAACTATTATCACTGTTAACTGCCACCAAGTGGTGTAACAGGCTCGTGAGCCATCATCTGCGCTGCCCGGCCAAACATAGTTTTATTTAATGTTCAATATTCAATCAACATAGAAGTCATAAAATGTTTTACATTCAAGTTATAAACGGAATACAATAAAAATTAACAAAATCCCAAACTACCCCATATTGATTGATTTTCTACACTTTCATGTTTGTTTGGATTGATTGATTGGCTTATAACCTTTAAGATGTCTCTGGGTATTGTAATCCTCGCCTTATGCCTACAAATGCTAGTTTTATCTACACAATGCATTTCATATAAACCTTCTATTTGTTTTAATTAAGAAAATTCTTAATTGTCATAGTTATGGTAGATTAATTTGTGGGGTTTGCCTTCACCCTTTGCAATATTTGGAATTTCAGAAATATCTTTTGTAAAAAAATCATAATCTGATTGTTGTTGTTGCGAAGGCATCAAAACTCGATTAATTGATTTTTTAATGGGCTTCACAAATTTTCATTTTGCTCGATGCCACTCATGCGTCTATTTAAGCTCCACAGAATAGCCTCTTCTACTCAAATAAGAGAGGTTCAGTCTCTTATTCACATTTTGTTAATGAAAATGGCCATGCACATATGAATATATTCAGTAATTTGAAGCTTAATGCTTTGTGGCATGATTGGGCAGCATTAGTGCCACCTTTTGGAGATATCAGACTATGAAAGGATGGTGGTTGCTTTTGAAATTCTCTGACTCTCTAGGGGCTATTATGAATTAGGATTCAAGAGTTCAAAGAAAAGATAGAAAGTTTTTCATGATTGTGATAATTATTAGTTATAAATGGTGGGGACAGGATTGAACTGTAAATTTAGAAAATTTATGTTGATATTCTTAGAAAACATTTGGTTTTATGCCAGGAGAAACTTGCTATAGGGTAATTTTTTGCAAAGATAACTGACAAACAAATATAAGGATCAGTAAATGAATCTTCTTATATTATTCGAACTTAATGAGATTATATCAATGATAATGTATAAAGAAGTATATAAATTCAATTTAGAGTGAGCTATGGAGATGAAATGGTTGTGATGTGGTATATATTGGGACCTCTTTTAGAATAATGAAGAAAATTTTTAATGGATGAGACGTAAATGATTAATAGAGATAGGGTATTATTTATTAGAGGTCAACATCATAATTATATATCAAAATTATTGGAGAATTTGCTCGAGTTTGTCGATGTGATAGATTTTTGTACTAGTTGTTTAAAAAAAATATGAAAATGGATGCAATACAACTTTTGGAGTAAAATTTGTATAGCTTAAACCGTGATTTATCCAGGAGTACTATCCAATAAGAGTATGTTGAAAATTTATGTTATATTTTAAGATGGTAATATAATGTGTTGTCTATAATGAATTTGAGCATTTGGAAATAAAAACTATTAATTTCAATTAGAGAGTTGTAGAAATTAAAATGTTAAGATGAATGATTGGTTAAATTAAGAAGATTGAGATGAAAAAATAGTTATACAAGAAAAATGATGGGACTGCAATTATTGAAAAAAAGTTATTGAAAAAATAGACATAAAAGGATTAGAAAGAAAAATATTACATGAACTTGCTAGATAGATAGCATATACATGGGGACATCTTCAACCTTTTTAATATTACATAACAAACATGATATACTTAGGCATATAGTGGTTGAGTACTAAAATATGTTAAACTGTTGCATCATACATATAAAGTAATTGAGCAATTTGCCAATCAACTCTCTTGCTTCCTGAAGAGCTCACAAATAATTTTATTCAGAGACATCTAAAGCTTGCATTAGGAGTTATTCAGTTTGCGACATATAAATTAATTATTTTTATTCAAGGCAACCATTGCATCTTATTATGCTATACCCCAATCATTCTCAAGCAACTCCCTAAGCTGGAGAATCTCCTCTTCTGGCAGTATTAATGATATCACTCTTCCACTTGTGCCAACATGACCTTGAAGCACCAGTACTGCTCCTTCGTCACCAACACCATCAATGTTGTATTCCACATGAACTGGTTGCTGTCCTTTAAGCTCCAGCTTATAGAAGTTGATTGATTCCATATCAACAAAAGTGAGGTTTGAACCATAAAGAATGACATCTAGTTTCTCAGTCTCTCTATTTAGTAAATCTTGTACTGATTTCATCTCATCAATGGCTTCTTTATTTAACAGCTTGGCCAATTCTAGCAGCTCAGTCTTGGCTGGTGATGAATTTGATGCGACAGTCTTAACTTTTATCTGGTTACTGAGAATCCCATTGCTTTCAATGGAGCTATTGCTACAAACTGTCACCAGCTTGGGCTCTTTTTCTGCTCTAATTTTTGCAATGTTTTGCCACAATAGGGATGCAATTGTTTGAAATATTGATATTTTTGTAGAAATTTTTGATTGCAGGTAATTCAACTTGGTTGCTGTAAGCTCAATGGAAAATGTAGCCATCCGTTGAGTATTTGAATTTAACCAGAAATCCCCTACCTGTTTGACTTGCTCAACTGAGCTGGGTAGTACAGAGTCCAGTTCTGCTGGAATTGATTTTTCTGGATCATTTTTCAGGTTGTGGAGCTGGAAGTTTTTGGGTATTTCTTTGCCGGATAGTAGTTGTCCCCAGAGGTTGATGAAATTTGAAGCCGAAACTGCATCTCCGAGGAGGTGAGCCCAACTAAAACCAATTGCCATTCCTCCACATTTGAATCTGGTGAACTGTTGTAACAGTGAAACCAAATAAGAATAGGGTTGTTAAAAAAGCTCGTTCACGAATAACTTGTGTTAGGCTCATTAACTCATGTTCAAATCGTTTATTAAGCAAGCTGAATAAGAACAATTTTTTTAAGCACAAATTATAAACGAGCTGAACACGAATAACCATTTGTTTGATCGTGTTTGCCTCATACAGTTATGAAGTTTGACATAATGCGCTTTTAGTTAAATGTTTTTGCGAAGTTTCTCTGTATAATTTTGATATCTTTTTGAATTTAAAAAGTTGGCAGATTTTAAACGTTAATCTAAGATTTCTGGAAGTCATTCCTACATCAGACACGATATTATTTCAGTTATTCATAGCTATGATACGGAACTATAGTTTGATCATACTCCAAACTATAATAGCATATTATTAGTAGAGAAGGTTAAACATGTAATAATTAATGTGGTGCTGACAGCTAAGAAGATTTAACGCATGCATCTACTGCCACAGAAAATGACACTTTAAAGATATAAGCAATGATAATAATGTGCTTTTATTTCCAATGGCTGCGAATAATCTATCCTTAAACAATACATTATATATATATATATATATATATATATATATAT